AGTATGCAGAGTAAATGCATCTGGTTTTTGTTTTCCATTGGCAGGATTAACCCTGAACTTCATACCTGTCTGGCCAGGTCAGTCCACAGAACATCTAAATCTTGTTTGCCAAGTTTATTTTTGAACAGTGGACACTTTCCCTTCCTTACAACCTAAGCGGTACAATCTATATCAACAACATACATACCAAAAGACTTTTAGTACAAATACATGAACAGAAGTCCAAGCAGATACATAGACTATCTCTTTTTTTGTCTGCTTGCAGATAAATCTCTCTTCAACCACTGTGCACCGCTGACAAGACTGGCATCCATGATAAAATCACTAATGTGCAAAGATAGCAGATTTACTGTGGCCTAGAGAATTCATAAGAAAACAAATACAAGTAAGAAAAACTGAGAAAAATAAGACAGAAGATAGCAAATAAAAACTTTATGATTACTGTGAAGATGTGTCAAAACTAAAACAACCCTTCTGCACAGCAACAAGGAAACAGAGTGAGTGCAAAAAGGAAACAAAACACCTAGGTTATTTGTTATTCATTGCCAGTGAAAGTTATAAAAGTGGTAGCCTACTCTGATTCAGTGAAGAGAGGAAATATTCTTAGTGAAACGTGTACTCAACCCTGCTGTCTCTACAGCAGTTTATCTAAGCAAGGTTGATGCAAATCTTTTTTTTTCTATAACATAGTGTAACAAACTCTGCTGTGTTACAGTAGCAGTACAAAACGACTGATAAGATGAAAATAAATTGAAACTTACGGTACCTCAGTTGGTGCCATGCATGTCAGTGAAGCAACCCACCATCGGTAAGTAATGAGCCTGACACCGAAGCTTTTATTTCCAGAGTAAATGATTTGTGGATGAAGTGCCAATAAGGTCAAAAGTAAATAGCTAAGGATATGTGGGTGCATCTGACAGTGACAGCCTTCCCAGAGACACACATCCTGTGTTGGCCTGTCCCCTTTCTCCCACATACATGTGTGTTTGTGTGTAAAAATATTACCTGCTACACACACATACACACAAAACAATGAAAGGGTATGATTAAATGACTGCACCGAAATCTTGTCCTATTCAGTCTCTATCATGGCCAAAACAGAGGCGACCAGATTCAGGACACACAGACTGGGCGCGTACACCTCAAGTTTACTTTTTAATCAGATGGAGGCTAAGCTGTTCTTTGTTTTGTTGACAACACTACCATAAGACCTATCCCAGTCTGAAATGCAGCCTCATCACTCCTGCAACAAACAACTAACACCATGTTTACACAACACCTGTGCCCTGCTTCACCTCTGATACTGCTTGGGCAAGCATTTTGGTTAACAAATGCCGGAAAACACTTGTCTTGTGGTTTGCTAATTAATGTTTAAAATATGAACGTGACAACCTTATACATACACAGAGAAGTGAGATAAGGGGTGCTGTGGTGAGCCAAGTTCTCTTT